AGGCGCCCGTATGCTGGCAGCAGTTATTTGGTTTATGTGTGCCATCCGGTGACTTGCTCGGTGTTATGGTCACCCCAAGGTCTTTCTCTCCTGAGTGAGGGTCCTGTAGTCTTTGTCCACCTAGCCTATATCTGTCTGCGTTTCTTTGCCCTCCCCAACTTCATGACTTGATTTGGCAGGATTTGAATTCGAGAAGCCAGTTTCTGGACACACATGTCCCGCCTGTCCAGATCCTTGCAGTCCTGCCTCATCCTCAACCGATTTAATTCTTCTCATCAGCTTCACATCATCTGCGAAAAGGGACATCATAGTCTATTCCTTCCATAATGTCGTTCGCATATATCAGAAAAAGAGCACTGTCCTAGAAACTGACCCGCTGATGGACCCCGCTCGTCACAGGCCCCACTGTAGATACTCTTCACGTACCACGACTCGTTGCTCTGCCTCCCTGTCAGATATTCCCGATCCCATTGCAGGTGCCCTCCGCTGTTATATGGCGCCTGATCCTCCAGCTTCTGCATCTAATCACTTGTGGGGGAACTGTTGTCAAAGGCCTCCTGCAGTCTAGGAAAACGCAATCAACCCACCCCCCTCTCTCTCGGTCTTACTTCTGTTCACCTTGTCATAAAACTCCAGGAGGTTTGTGACACAGTGATTTTCCTTCCATGAACCCATTCTGGTTTTCATTTATAATCTTGTCCGTCTGGGTGTTCCACAACTCATCCTCCCTGATAATCTTCCTCCATGACTTTGCAACACCGAGACATGGTCAAGACCCAGGTCTGTATTTAGTGCCATCATTTCTTCTGTTTCCTTTCTTACATATTGGAACTACATTTGCTGCTTTCCATTTTCTCAGGTAGTTTGCCCAGTTTCAAGGATGTGTTGATTGTGTTCGAGGCACACACAGCATCTCTGCTCCTTCTCTAGGACCCATGGAAGATGGTGTCCGTCCCATCGCCTTTGAGGTATTAAGGTCAGCTTAGCAAGCTTCTGCAGCGAACCCCTCCCTTCCTCGGTTGTTCGTATGTCATCCACACTTGTTGGTATTTCCCTCTTGATGTTCCCTTCTGTGCTGTCTTCCCACATAGCCCTTCCGAGTCTCTACTGTAAAAACTTCCTTAAAATCTCCATTTTTTAGCTTCCTCACATACCTCCTGATCATTTCTTGTGAGTTCTCCACCTTCTGTCCTCAAACTGATCACCTGGTTCTTTGACTTGTTGTCTGTGCTCCTGATGTGGTGTATAACAAACAGTTTCGGGTCATCTTGATTCTCGATGCTAATGTCATTTTTCGATCCTGTCGCTGGGCCTCCTCACTTACCTGTGCATACTCGTTCCTGGACTCTGCGACTGATCACCCTATTTTCGTGTGTGATCTCTGCTTTCTGTTACTTTTTTTTTTTCCATTCTCTATTGCACTTTGTTTTTTGCCTCATTCAACACCGTCGAGTAATACCAGATGCTCGTTCTGGTCTTCGATGTTTCTGTTGCCCTTGGGAATAACCCTTGTCCTCAACTGCCTCCTTGCATTTTGTTGTCACATATTCCATCATTCTTCATTTACTGGCTTTCCTGACCAGTTTCCCTGTCCCACGAACCTCCTGGAGGAATTTTCTCCTCAACCCTATGTAGTTCCCCTCTTTCTATATCAGGCTTTATCTCCCCATTTAACTCCTGTTACTCTCATCAACGTTGCAACTCCAACTAATGTATTCAAAGCACATCGAACCACGTGGTCGCTAGGCTCCCTAGGGGACTGCGAGCATACTTATGTCCTCAATGTCGGAAAACCTCTGCCCGTATTGAACGCTCAAGTCCAAGTCTTGCTGGTTTCATCCTGCCCCTTCTTCACCTATTGGTTATGTGTCACCTTAACATGTTGGTGCATGCACGTTTTCCAGCAACCACTTCCAATCCATCTTGGCTCTCCATGTTTTGGGACCACACCATGTGCTCCAGGTATTCTCCCAGTCAATCTCCCTGTGGGTTGAAATCCTTCCATAACCAGCAACTTTGCTCTGCTGGAGTGAGCTCTTCTTGCACCTCATCAAGTGTGTCCACCATTGCTCTGTGCACTCTTCATATTCCCTCTCTTCCGCGCCTCCTGCAGGTTCTGTGTGGTGGATTATAACATCACTGCAATGACCACCTTGTGCTCCCCAGACTGAAGTGTACCTACTATGTAGTCTCTTTCTCCCGTCACGTCTATGCCTCCCCATTTTCTCGAATTTCATCTGTTTTTGCGAGAGAGCATCCCCCTCCTCCCCCCCTTTTGCCCCTTCTATCTTTCCTCATGATCTGGTATCCTGGTGGGAACAATTGCATCTTTATTGTCTCCGTGAGTTTTTGTTTCTGTAACTGCTATGATGTCTGGGGACTTCTCATTGATTCTTTCTTTTGCCATTTCCTCATGATTATTCGTTTAATCCATCTGCATTTGTGTACCAAACCTTCAACTTTCATGTTCTAATACTGTAACTGTGTGGCGGGTGTGGGAACAGAGATTTCATCGTGTGTGAAGAATTGGTTTTTTGATTGGTTCAGATGCCTTGGGGGTGTCCTGTTTGCCCTTCTCAGCATGCTTTCCTCCGCAGTATCATGGTTCGGGTTGAATTCTGCCTTGAAAATTACTCTGAGAGGCCGATCCTTTTCTTGTGAACCACCCGATTCTCCGAAAATTAGCCACCTGGGTCATGTCCCCCACGCCTATCACCTTCATGATCCCTTCAAATCGCTTTTTTCTCCTCCTGCTTTGCTATTTCACCATAAGTTTCCCCTTTAGCTTACATCTAGACCATAACAAAAACGTGATCTCATCCCATTTCACCTCCCACTGTGACTGCATTGTCATCCTCTGAGTGTTTTAGTTCCTTCCCGTAGGGAGTGTTCCGCTTCCTTCAGTCCCTCCCTAGCATATGGACCCTATGCTTCATATGGTTTGTCTTTCCTGCTCGATCTGTCCCTGGCCCCCCACAGGTGCCCCTGCGTAAGGGTCCTCTTGTCACATGTTCCTAGTTCCATTCAATGGTCTGTCCAACCTCTCTGATTCTGTCTTAGTGTGCTCCCTGTCTTTGTTTGGCCCCATGTGGGTTTGACAGGCCCTCTGCACTACAGTTTAGGCATCCATGCTTCCTTCAGACCCGATTGTCCTGTGGCTGATGTAGCATTGCTGATGATACTTCTGTAATATCTTTGTCTCTAAGCTGTTGCAGATATCTCAGCTCCTTTCTAATTTCTGTATCTTGTTTTCTGCTTCTTTGGCATGTTTACCTGGAGTTTACCATGGAGAGAGTTTTCCGGGTCAAGGGCCCCCCGCGGCCCGGTCCTGTGACAGGTCCTCCTGGTGGAACAGAGCCTATCAACCAGGCTGTATACTGCGACTGCATGCAAACCAACCGTACGAACCACAGCCCGCCTGGTCAGGAACCGGGACTTTAGTGCTTTCCATGTCCAGCTTGAAGACTGCGTCCAGGGTTCTGTATGCTGGAGGCAGTTGAACATATTCTCGGGCCCCTGACACTGGGAACGGTTGAAGGTCCTTGATCTGTATTCCCTGGAACGCAGGCTAGAGAGATACATGACAACATACACTTGGAAGGTCCTGGAGGGATTGGTACCAAACCTGCACACGAAAATCACTCCCTCTGAAAGCAAAAGACTCAGCAGGAGATGCAACATTCCCCCAATGAAAAGCAGGGGCACAACGAGTACATTGAGAGACAACACAATAAGTGTCCGGGGTCCAAGACTGTTCAACTGCCTCCCAGCCTACATAAGGGGGATTACCAATAGATCTCTGGCTGTCTTGAAGAAGGCACTGGACAGGCACCAAGTCAATACCTGACCAACCGGGCTGTAGTTCGTACGTCAGCTTGCGTGCGGCCAGTAGTAACAGCCTGGTTGATCAAACCCTGATCCACCGTGAGGCCTGGTCTCAGACCGAGCCGTGGGGGCGTTGACCCCCGAAACCCTCTCAGGTAAACTCCAGGTATACTGCCCTTGTTACCTAGCAATAGATACCTACCTGCAAGTCGACTGTTGTGGGTGGCATCCTGGAGAAAGAACTAAGGGCTACAATAGAAATAAGTCACACTAATTGCCTGTTAGTTATCCTGGGTATTAACCCTCGTCCAGAATAAAAACATACGATAAGAACTGAGGAGCAATGTAGTAGGCTTGCTGGCTCATGCTAGGCAGGTGCTTCTCAAATCCACCATTTCTCAAGTCATATGTCAAACCTGTTTTTAAGTTAGCCAAGAGCTTCAATACACCTCACCTGACTCTTCACTACACTTGTGTTACTGATATACGGAAGTCGATCAACCCGTAGACGATATTCCGGCTCTTGACTCACGAAATCGTCATGACAGGATTGCAAACAAACTATACCATGGGTGGGGGTAGAACCCGCGATCAGATAGTTTGTTCAGCTCTTGTTTAATGGGAAGTAATGGGGCTTGGTCAAAGGGAAAGGTAGTTCCAATTCCTTGAATCAAGAACTCTTCACCAGCATCAAGGCACACTCTTGAAGGGACAGATTTATCCCTCGCTGTCTTCATGCTCATCTTCAAATATTTATTTCAAATCTTCTAGCACATTGTCGCAGGATAGAAATTTAATGTTTGTATCGCACAAACTTCTTGTTGCCCCACCATAATAGATTACGTGTAATTGACCTTTACATTGGTGCCATTATCACAAGTTCGACTACAGCACTTCACACTGACATGCTGGGGACGTCCGTACTGTTAGCACTAACACTGTGCTCTCAGCATCACATACAACTGTAGCACTGCTGCTGTTTTTATACCTAGATAGCTGTTGCTTCTGTACCACTGCTGTTGTGCAAAAATCTTTATATTTTTCTTAATATTCATTGTGCTAAGAGATACATATATTCACATGACAAGATTTTTTGGGGTTATCCTAGGTAATTTCCACTATGTATGATAATTGTACTTATGTATACCTGTGCCTAAATGAACTTGCTTACTTAGGACCCGCTGTCTCATCGTATCATTGAGAAACGTCGCCGCGACAGGATGAACAACTGCCTGGCCGACCTTAGCCGTCTTATCCCTACCTACTACCTGAAGAAGGGACGTGGGCGCATAGAGAAGACTGAGATCATTGAGATGGCAATCAAATATATGAAACATTTACAAGCTCATGCCTGCAGTCAAATAGGTAATGTGTAAGTTTGGTGCTTAACTGGTGTATATATAGTGATAGTTTGCCTGAAATACATGGCATGCTAGTGGCTTTCTTTTGTGTCTTAACAATATTTTATTACATGTAAACTACATTATCTGTATACTGCATAGAAGAAATAAAAAACTGAATCTGAATTAATGTCAATGTCACTCTCATATGAAAGCAGTGGTGGTCCCCACACCCTTTTGTTCCTTTCACCTCCCGTTTCCAGAAAGCTTTCAGTACTGCACCATAACATTTTTGGTACCTTATTTCCATGTGTTTTATTCATGTATTTGCTGTATTGTATATCATTAATATAATGATATATATTTGACACAGCAACAACATGGCATCTTGGTACAAAGGGACATCTACAACTTTATTGCTCAACCACTAGTTATGAATGATAACTTTGAGATCTGAGAAAGATCTACCTAGCATGGGTCAATAAGCCTGCTGCAGTACTCCTCAGTTCTTATGCTCTTACTTCCACTAGTGGGCCCCACCTCTTGTGACACCATCTCCAACTTCCACATCTCACTTCTGGCTCCAGTATAAAAGACTGCACTTTCATGTCTCAGCCTCACATTGATCAAAGCTACGGAGCTAAACACTGATCATGGCTGAGGGAATGACCACCTCAAAGTTACTGCTACTTTAAGGCTAAGGGACTGATCACTTCATATTTCTCTCTTCACTGCTTCTGTTCTTTCCCATTTAAGTCACCCCTGTATTTAATTAAGCATGCAAAATATTTTGGAAATGTACGCACCAAAGGTGGCATGTGTCTTATTCATCTTCTGGTAGAATGTTGAATATTCTAGGCTCACTGATGTTGATACAGTGTTCTCTTCTTGTGCCCATGGTGTCCCTGCTTTTTACTGGGCTGCTTCTACATTTCCTTCCATATCTCTCTTTCTCTCTTCAGTATGTTATGGTTCTGTGTAGCTTTAGGATGTGGCCCTCAAATATCTAACATATACTATACTACATTTTTATTATATCTCTCTTACTCTCCATTCAAGTAAGAACGTATTCAGAACTTTAAATGTTTTGCAATAAACAAAAACAAATTGGCAAAAATTCTGAGAGTACTGCACTAAAAAGATAAAAACTAATGAAGACTCACAATTATTATTTAGATAATAGCTCCGTGTCTTCCTTTGTGGATGACACCCGTACTGCCATGATAGTGTCCTCCATCAAAGACACCGCAAAACTCCAAGTCGCCATCAACCAAATCATCAAATGGGCCACTCCAAAAAAAAATGAAGTTCAGTGAAGAGAAATTTCAACTACTCAGATACGGAAAACTTGAGGAAATTAAAACTGTATCAGGGTATACAACAAATTCTAACCATACAATAGAGCGAAAAAGTAATGTGAAAGACCTGGGAGTGATAATAATTACAGGGTGTACCACTAGAACACCTAGCATGGCTAGGCATTTCGGGCAGACTTAAATTAAATCTTAAGTTTAAAATATTACAAAATTATGAGGTAAGTTGGTATTTTGGCTAAGTGACTAAATACTAGTTTGTGAGTTTAGCAATATGAATGCTTTTGTTTTGGCACTATACATAGTTTCAGTATTGGAGTATCACAGGCCAACTTATGACTAGTTAAGATTCATTATTTTGAGATTGAGATCGATATTTCTGTTTATGGTCAAATGGGTGAGTGAGTGTAAGTGTGAACCACCAGGTGGTATTCGTGTAATTAGTTGACAGGGTGTATCAGGGAGATAAGATGTTTTCTGATGGTAGTTTTGAAGGTGATGAATGTGTCTGCAGTTTTAGAATTTTCAGGTAGGGTGTTCCAGATTTTAGGGCCTTTGACATACATTGAATTTTCGTAAAGGTTTAGTCGGACACGGGGAATGTCATAGAGATGTTTGTGTCTGGTGTTGTGCCTGTGGGTTCTGTCACAACTATTAAGAAAGTGTTTTAGGTCAAGGTTAATACTGGAATTTAAGGTCCTGTAGATGTAGATTGCACAGTAGTAAGTGTGGATGTACTGAACAGGGAGTAAGTTTAGATCTATGAAGAGTGGGGGGGTGTGTTGCCAGGGATGGGATTTAGTGATTATTCTTACTGCAGCTTTTTGTTGGGTTATTATTGGCTTTAGGTGTCTTGCTGCAGTTGATCCCCAAGCACAAATAGCATAGGTGAGGTAGGGATATATAAGTGAATGGTATAGTGTGAGAAGGGCAGTTTGCGGCACGTAGTATCGCATCTTGGAGAGGATCCCAACCGTTTTGGATACTTTTTTGGTTATGTGTTGAATATGGGTGCTGAAGTTCAGGTTATCGAGGTATAGGCCTAGGAATTTGCCCTCATTACGCCTGGCAATTAGAGTGTTGTCGATCTTAATGTTAATTTGCGCATCTCCTGCTCTGCTACCAAACATAATATAGTAGGTTTTGTCAGTGTTAAGCGTAAGTTTATTGGCTGTCATCCAAGTCGATATTTTGATCAGCGCCTCATTAACAATGGTGTTGAGGGTGGCAAGATTAGGGTGAGAGATGACACGAGTCGTGTCGTCAGCAAAGAGAATGGGGTTCAGGTGTTGAGATACGTTTGGAAGATCATTGATGTATATGAGGAAGAGCAGGGGACCAAGGACACTTTCCTGCGGAACTCCAGTATCAAGTGGCCGTGTTGTTGATGCTGTGTCTTTAATGGTGACATACTGATACCTATTAGTAAGGTAAGATTTGAAATATGGAAGCGCATGGCCTCTTATACCATAATGGTCAAGTTTGTGGAGTAGGATGCCGTGGTTTACTGTGTCAAAAGCTTTTTTTAGGTCAATAAAAATTCCTAGTGGATATTCCTTATTTTCCAATGCTGTGTAAAGCAGATCTAGCATTTTTATGATTGCATCGTTAGTGCTTTTATTTTTCCTGAATCCAAATTGGCAGGGGTTGAGTACGTTTTGTGCCGTTATAAATGAATATAGTCTCCTGTGCACGAGTTTCTCAAAGATTTTGGATAGCAATGGTAAGTTCGATATTGGCCTATAGTTGTTTAAATCTGTAGGGTCACCACCTTTATGTATTGGTGTAACCCTTGCCGTCTTGAGTAGTTTCGGGAAGGTGCTAGTCTCTAGTGACTTGTTAAAAAGTAATGAGATAGCATGCAAGAGGACATGGGCTGCTCTCTTGTACAATAATGGTGGGACATGAGACAGATTCCCTGAGTTATTTTTAAGTGACTTTATAATCTCGGTGACTTCGTGGGCTCAGTTGGAGCAAGATAGAAGGAATTTGGGAAATTCCCATCTAGGTAGTCCCCGGCATGGGCATTGGTACGTGGGATTTTATTGGCGAGATTAGAACCTATGGTTGAGAAGAAGTCGTTTATCTTGTTAGCTGTGTCAGTGGGATGCAGTGGTGTTTCATTAGGTTTAGTTAGGACAATATTCTTGTTTTTTTTTTAGTTTGTGGGTCCCTAGAATCTGAGAGAGTGTTTTCCAGGTCTTTTTTATATCTCCTCTTGTGTCAGTGAATCTACTGGAGTAGTATAGTTGTTTGGCTTTCTTTATTACTTTGGTGAGGACTGATGAATAGTGTTTAAGAATATCTTTGTGTATTAAGCCCTGTCTATATTGCTTTTCATATTGGTGTTTCTTATCAATGGATTTCAGAATGGTGCTGGTTAGCCATGGGCAACCAAGCCATTTGTTTGTGATCTGTTTCATTTTTATAGGACAATGTTTATTGTATAGTCTAAGTAATTTGTTAAGAAAAATGTCTGTCCAGTCATCAATACCATTGGCCTTGGAGAATTCTGTAGGCCAGTCAACAGTCTCTAGGTCAGCTGTGAACTTCCTTATTGAGGCCTCATCATGGAGTCTAAATGAAACTTTGTTGTATTCAAGTGGTGGTTTACTAATGTTTGTCAAGAGGAAGGTAGGGTAGTGGTCTGTAGTGCTATCTGTAATTATCCCTGATTTAAGGGGGGCTAGTATATTGGTCCATATGTGGTCAGAGGATCTCGCCTTCAAAGACCACAACAATGTATCTACCGCATCTGCTAGGAAAATGATAGAATGGATAATGAGAACCTTCAAAACTAGGGATGTCAAGCTCATGATGATTCTCTTCAAATTTCTTGTTCTCTCTAGGCTAGAGTACAGCTGTATACTAACTGCCCCCTTCAAGGCAGGCGAAATTGCTGACCTGGAGAGTGTACAAATAACTTTCACTGCACACATAAGTACGATAAGGCATCTAAATTACTGAGAAATGGTTAAGTCCCTTGATTTGTATTCCCTGGAACTCATGTGAGAGAGATACATGATAATATACACTTGGAAAATCCTAGAGGGATTAGTACCAAACTTGCACATGAAAATCACTCCCTATGAAAGCAAAAGACTTGGCAGGAGATGCAACATTCCCCCAATGAAAAGCAGGGGTGCCACAAGTACACTGAGAGACAACACAATAAGTGTCCTGGGTCCAAGACTGTTCAACTGCCTCCCAGCATACATAAGGGGGATTACTAATAGACCCCTGACTGTCTTCAAGAAGGGACTGGACAGGCACCTAAAGTCAGTACCTGACCAGCCAAGCTATAGCTCGTATGTCAGTTTGCATGTGGCCAGCAGTAACAGCCTGGTTGATCAGACCCTGATCCACCACAAGGCCTTGTCTCAGACCGAGCCGCAGGGATGCTGACCCCCGAAACCCTCTCCAGGTATAACATTGATGAATAATGTTGCAATAACATAAATCTAACCCTTCAATAAATATAACGAGCACATTTGTCTCTTGTCCTTTGTGAAGGTGGATACTGTACAATATTTACTCTCACAGCCCTGGCTGTTCATTTTGCTCTGTAATAAGACCTATAGTTCAGACTGCCTTCCTCTTTACTAACTACCTTCATATCACATTTTTTAACTTGCTCCACATTAACTTTTAGAAAACTGATGAATTGAAACATTAACCTAATTAATGCATATTGTGTTGAATCTCTTAAAACTTTCCAAAACAGGGAAGCACTATAGGTACATGTCTGTGATTGCAAACACAGACATGTACCTGTGAATATACACAAGCCAGTCATTCTAATATAACATCTTGCTCAACCATCACATGATGTGAGTTTTTTCACTTTTTTGGGAAAAAATCACAAGAGATAATTTGTAATCCTTATTTGCATATTACAAAAAAAATTCACACTGGATTTACTCCTATCATTAACAGAGAACTGTGAAGTTACGGTAAAACAAGAACGGACAGGAAGACAACTTGAACAATTCCACTTAGGGTATCAAGAATGTATGTCGGAAACAATGCAGTTCCTGGTAGAGTCAGAAGGTTTCTTTACTGGTGACTCACTCTGTGTCAGACTCATGAACCATCTCAATAAACACTGTGAGAAGATCCTTACCAGTGAGTAGCAACTCTTGGTCTTTTTATTAAGGCAGACCCTTTAAGGGATAAGGGCAGAGTACCTTGATACTGACAGGCTCTTGATCCAAGGATTAAACCTGATTGCCTCTCTTTCCCCATGCACTGTGAGACCCCTATGGGTTTAGCAATATTAAGTTAGAATTATCTTTTATCAGAGTAATTGGTCTATGTACATATCTTGCTACATTCAAAGTGATCATAGGAGTATCATGAACCTTTACTAATGATGACTTAATACAACTCATATTTGAGTGAAAAATAGTTAATGCTTGTCTTGCTAAGTGCCTACATTACTTTACAATTGTTTTCTATGGTTTTTAATACAATTTTATTCACTTTAATGCTTATTACAGGTGAGGGGTATGTTACAAGACAGAGCAGATCCAGTTCGTCCACGTCGAGTGGGTACCATGCAAACAGCTCATCTGCAGGATCATCCAGTGATGGCAATGGTAATGGCTCAAGCCATGCATCTGAGAGTAAGGACACACTTGTCTCAGGTAATTATTAGTATTATTACAATCATAACTAAGCACTAAACCCACAAGAGTCAATGTTTTCAGATTATGCACATGCCTCAAGACCACTTCCCATTTGTTCATATTAACCCTTAAACTGTCCAAGCAGATCTACGTTCACATGCGTAGTGCTCCAAAAGTAGATCTACTTTTTTTTTACATATTTTCAAGTATATGTATAACAAAAAAAAAGTAGATCAAAGTTTTTAAATGTAAAAAAAAAAAAAAATCTATTTTACATAATTTCAAATGTTGAAAAAGCATAGATCTACGTTTGGACAGTTTAAGGGTTAACAAATTCATTAACGTAACAAATTTAGATCTGGTTTAGTTATGTTGGATGACACTGTTTATTTATTTATAACAGCTATGTTTGAACTGTTTGATGACCCCATGAACTGGGTACTGAAGCACCTGTAATGTTCCTTTTTGAAACAAAGATGAGTAATGTTTAACACTGAAATCACGTCTTTGTACATTATCCTCAAGTCCCGTACCGAGAACATTTGGCTATTGGGCGAGATATATCTTCATGACTACTGCTGTATAGATTAATTAATTTATTTTAAAATATTTTCCATTTGTTTTTAATAAGAAATATGGTAACATGACTATTCACAGTAATGGTGTATGTTATTTATGGATAAAAAGGTAATTTTGGTGTGATATTCTTACCTTCACAAATAAATAACAGTATTGTATCAAACCATTATAACTGAATATTGCAAATTTAAAAGGTGTAGTTCAACAGCTGGATATGTATTATAAATTGCAATATACTTGGGCTGTAACATTTGTAATACAGAGCATTCTTATTACATAATACAATACTTGTGTGATGAGAGCAGTCTCTCCTTGCTTGATTTATTTACTATTAATTATTGAAAGATAGAGGTAGTAGGTTGGTAGACAGCAACCACCCAGAGAAGTACTACCGTCCTGCCAGATGACTGTGAAACAGAAACCTGTAACTGTTTTGCATGATGGTAGGATTGCTGGTTTCTTTTTCTGTCTCATAAACACGCTAGATAACAGGGATATCTTGCTACTTCTACTTACACTTTGGTCACACTTCACAGACACGCACATGCATATATATATATACATACATCTAGGTTTTTCTCCTTTTTCTAAATAGCTCTTGTTCTTCTTTATTTCTTCTATTGTCCCAGGGCCAGACTCGTGGAACTCTGTGTTCATCAAGAACTGCAAGAAGCCCCTATCACGAGCCTTTTCCATCCTATGGAGAGGGAGCATGGACACGGGGGTCGTCCCACAGTTACTAAAAACAACAGACATAGCCCCACTCCACAAAGGGGGCAGTAAAGCAACAGCAAAGAACTACAGACCAATAGCACTAACATCCCATATCATAAAAATCTTTGAAAGGGTCCTAAGAAGCAAGATCACCACGCATCTAGAAACCCATCAGTTACACAACCCAGGGCAACATGGGTTTAGAACAGGTCGCTCCTGTCTGTCTCAACTATTGGACCACTACGACAAGGTCCTAAATGCACTAGAAGACAAAAAGAATGCAGATGTAATATATACAGACTTTGCAAAAGCCTTCGACAAGTGTGACCATGGCGTAATAGCGCACAAAATGCGTGCTAAAGGAATAACAGGAAAAGTCGGTCGATGGATCTATAATTTCCTCACTAACAGAACACAGAGAGTAGTCGTCAACAGAGTAAAGTCCGAGGCAGCTACGGTGAAAAGCTCTGTTCCACAAGGCACAGTACTCGCTCCCATCTTGTTCCTCATCCTCATATGGCTGATTTCATAGGACTGAAAAATTACTTAGGTGGGCTGAACTGGAATGACCTGACTAAGGGTCAGGTAGGTGGTGATGGTTGCCGATATGATGCTTTCCAGGGCATAGTTCTAGCTGCTCAGTCAAATTATGTTCCAAATAGGGAAATCAGATCAAACAAAAATGATCCTAAATGGATGAACAATAGATTAAAATATCTGATTGGTCAAAAGAGAGGCATATATAGGCAAATCAAAAGAGGAGAGGGGCAATTGAGAAATCGATATATTCAGTTAAAGAGAGAAATAAAAAAGGGAATTAGAAAAGCAAAAAGAGATTATGAGGCTAAAGTTGCAAGAGAATCGAAGACTAACCCAAAAGGATTCTTTCAGGTATACAGAAGTAAGATCAGGACAAGATAGGCCACTCAAAAGTTCCTCGGGTCAGCTCACTGACAGTGATAAGGAAATGTGTAGAATTTTTAACACATACTTCCTCTCAGTTTTTACACAGGAGGATACCAGCGATATTCCAGTAATGATAAATTATGTAGAAACAGGACGATAATAAACTGTGCACTATTAGGGTCACAAGTGACATGGTCCTTAGGCAAATAGATAAATTAAAACCTAACAAATCCCCAGGCCCTGATGAACTGTATGCAAGGGTTCTAAAGGAATGTAAAGAGGAGCTTAGCACACCTTTGGCTAATCTTTTCAACATATCACTACAAACTGGCATGGTGCCAGATAAGTGGAAAATGGCAAATGTGATACCTATTTTCAAAACAGGTGACAGGTCCTTAGCTTCGAACTATAGACCAATAAGCCTGACCTCCATAGTGGGAAAATTTATGGAATCAATAATTGCCGAGGCAGTTCATAGCCACCTTGAAAAGCATAAATTAATCAACGAATCTCAGCATGGTTTTACAAAGGGGCGTTCCTGCCTTACGAATTTATTAACTTTTTTCACTAAGGTATTTGAGGAGGTAGATCATGGTAATGAATATGATATTGTGTATATGGACTTCAGTAAGGCTTTTGACAGGGTCCCACATCAGAGACTGTTGAGGAAAATTAAAGCACATGGAATAGGAGGAGAAATTTTTTCCTGGATAGAGGCATGGTTGACAAATAGGCAGCAGAGAGTTTGCATAAATGGGGAGAAATCAGAGTGGGGAAGTGTCACGAGCGGTGTTCCACAGGGGTCAGTGTTGGGCCCCCTGCTGTTCACAATCTACATAAACGACATAGATGAGGGCATAAAGAGCGACATCGGCAAGTTTGCCGATGACACCAAAATAGGCCGTCGAATTCATTCTGACGAGGACATTCGAGCACTCCAGGAAGATTTGAATAGACTGATGCAGTGGTCGGAGAAGTGGCAGATGCAGTTTAATATAGACAAATGCAAAGTTCTAAATGTTGGACAGGACAATAACCATGCCACATATAAACTAAATAATGTAGATCTTAATATTACGGATTGCGAAAAAGATTTAGGAGTTCTGGTTAGCAGTAATCTGAAACCAAGACAACAGTGCATAAGTGTTCGCAATAAAGCTAATAGAATCCTTGGCTTCATATCAAGAAGCATAAATAATAGGAGTCCTCAGGTTGTTCTTCAACTCTATACATCCTTGGTTAGGCCTCATTTAGATTATGCTGCACAGTTTTGGTCACCGTATTACAGAATGGATATAAATTCTCTGGAAAATGTACAAAGGAGGATGACAAAGTTGATCCCATGTATCAGAAACCTTCCCTATGAGGATAGACTAAGGGCCCTGAAACTGCACTCTCTAGAAAGACGTAGAATTAGGGGGGATATGATTGAGGTGTATAAATGGAAGACAGGAATAAATAAAGGGGATGTAAATAGTGTGCTGAAAATATCTAGCCTAGACAGGACTCGCAGCAATGGTTTTAAGTTGGAAAAATTCAGATTCAGGAAGGATATAGGAAAGTACTGGTTTGGTAATAGAGTTGTGGATGAGTGGAACAAACTCCCAAGTACCGTTATAGAGGCTAGAACGTTGTGTAGCTTTAAAAATAGGTTGGATAAATACATGAGTAGATGTGGGTGGGTGTGAGTTAGACCTGATAGCTTGTGCTACCAGGTCGGTTGCCGTGTTCCTCCCTTAAGTCAATGTGACCTGACCTGACTAGGTTGGGTGCATTGGCTTAAGCCGGTAGGAGACTTGGACCTGCCTCGCATGGGCCAGTAGGCCTTCTGCAGTGTTCCTTCGTTCTTATGTTCTTATGTTCTTATATCCGACATAGACAAGGATGTCAGCCACAGCACCGTGTCTTCCTTTGCAGATGACACCCGAATCTGCATGACAGAGTCTTCCATTGCAGACACTGCAAAGCTCCAGGCAGACATCAACCAAATCTTTCAGTGGGCTGCAGAAAACAATATGAAGTTCAACGATGAGAAATTTCAATTACTCAGATATGGTAAACATGAGGAAGTTAAATCTTCATCAGAGTACAAAACAAATTCTGGCCACAAAATAGAGCGAAACACCAACGTCAAAGACCTGGGAGTGATCATGTCGGAGGATCTCACCTTCAAGGACCATAACATTGTATCAATCGCATCTGCTAGAAAAATGACAGGATGGATAATGAGAACCTTCAAAACTAGGGAGGCCAAGCCCATGATGACACTCTTCAGGTCACTTGTTCTATCTAGGCTGGAATATTGCTGCACACTAACAGCACCTTTCAAGGCAGGTGAAATTGCCGACCTAGAAAATGTACAGAGAACTTTCACGGCGCGCATAACGGAGATAAAACACCTCAATTATTGGGAGCGCTTGAGGTTCCTAAACCTGTATTCCCTGGAACGCAGGAGGGAGAGATACATGATTATATACACCTGGAAAATCCTAGAGGGACTAGTACCGAACTTGCACACGAAAATCACTCATTACGAAAGCAAAAGACTTGGCAGACGATGCACCATCCCCCCAATGAAAAGCAGGGGTGTCACTAGCACGTTAAGAGACCATACAATAAGTGTCAGGGGCCCGAGACTGTTCAACTGCCTCCCAGCACACATAAGGGGGATTACCAACAGACCCCTGGCAGTCTTCAAGCTGGCACTGGACAAGCACCTAAAGTCAGTTCCGGATCAGCCGGGCTGTGGCTCGTATGTTGGTTTGCGTGCAGCCAGCAGCAACAGCCTGGTTGATCAGGCTCTGATCCACCAGGAGGCC